CGGTAACCGCTGCCGGGGGAGAGGAGGCGCGTTAGCTGCCTGCTGCGCTCGTTTTCCCTAGAGAAACAGGGGCTCTGCGCTTTAATTCGTTTCACTTTCCAAAAGCACTGCGGTTTGTTCTGCTCCTCTTCCCTCGTGCGTGCTTGCCTTCGCCGGCAAGTAATCAGCGTATGTACAGTACGTCCTCGGGGTTCAGGACGTTTTGTTTCGCTGCTCTTGCTGTCCAGTCACTTGATCCCGCTGCCTACTTCCCTTCTGGTACAAAATGATGCTCTAGGGAAGCCTGCGAGCTGCACCTTCTGTATAATCCGTCAGGAGGGGAGGGTGTTTGCCAGCATCTTTTTAAGGCACCCCTCTTCCCTTTCAGGTGAAGGCGAGGCATGGAGCCTTTGAAAAGAAACGTTGCAAAAATAACTGTGTAGAAGTAGCTATCACAGTGGCATAAATGGAATTACAAAGTTTTAGCACAAGAACTGTAGGACTGCTAACTGTGTTCGGCCATTGCACGTTTGTTCAGCTGCCTGGACAGGACTGACTAGTTCCATTAAGAAAATGCTATAGATTAAAAAAAAAATTTGGTATTCAGAGCCAATCTGTGACTGCTGTGAAAAAAGTAAAGGAGCCCTTATCCCTGTGCTGGACACCAGGATGAAGGAGAAGCTTTAAAGGTGAAACTTCTCCTTGGGTAAAATTAAAGCAGAAATAAGTAATAAGGTTATCAAAATGGTGGTGCACAAAGCAGCACTATAGAAGTGGTCAATTAATGTTATGTTTTCCATTTTACTATTGTGAAATTAACATTTGTCTAGAAGTATATTTTTCTCTTCCTGTGTTCTCCTGCTACCTTGTCTTGTTCTAGGTAGTCAAGCCACATACTCCCTTAATTAAGTTCCCGGACAGAAAAAGTATCCCCAAACCTAAAAGTAAGTATTTCATCTATAGAGATAACTTGCACCACTTTTCTTTGCATTAAGTATTTTATGTAAGAACCAGGACACGCTTTTTCCAACTTCGATTAAATATTCAACTGATTTTGAGTGGTATTTCTAGAACATAGCTTTAGTTTGGAGACAGCTCTTTGATGCTTCCATTACAGCTGTGGGGAAGAAAACTGTGTGTATGCACATCTTGGTCGAGGCAGATTCGTGAAGATTTCTAGTATTGTTTTCCTACTTTTGATTTATACACAAGATCCCATTTTTGCAAATACTAATATCCACCTGGAACGTTTCTGGCAAAGTCACCATGAGAAGCAACCTTGGGTATTCAGTGATGTTTGCAGAAATAATGTGGGATTTTGCTTGGTCCTCCTTTTCCTAATTGGAGCATGCAATGTCTGTGGCATTTAAAATCCTGATTATAGCTGGGAGGGCCAACCCGCTGTGCATTTTAAGAAATGTTTTCCAGTGCTATTAGTTAATACTAAGGAAAAAAGCGATTTCATTGCGATCTTTGGCACATCAATCTTTATACCTATAGCTATGCTGATATTCACAGAATACCAGGCAGTTATATTTAGGCAAAAGCTATATGAGCTGGGTGTTGTTTTAATATTCCGTTTGAGCCAATATAGCATTTGAAACTAAAATAACAGATGTCTCATGAATCTCTGCTGTATTATTCTCATTTTTTAGAAGTGACGGCTGGTTTTAACTCATTCTTTTTTTTAGATCTTTACCTATGAGATCTTTTTTTTCCTAATACTGCCAGTTAAGTCAGCTGCACCACCTTTCCTGCCAGTTTAAAAAACGTGTTACTTATCTCTTGTTCATCTCTGCATCAGAAATTTTCTGTCAATATTTCTTTTAAGTGTGTTAGACCTTTTTACCTTGATCGGGTTCTGTTACTTCAAAAGTAAATTGCAATCTACCTCACTTTGCTTGAACATTGTAGCAATAACAGCATTTTAGTGCACCAGATTCTTGCTTCCACACAGCCAGAGCTCCGCAGATCAACACTATACTTTCAGGGACTTGGGTGTTTGAAAGGCCAGGCAAACTCTTTTATTCTATTACTGCAACACGGTGGTCTCAAACGGGGAAGGGAAAGCTGTAGCGCAGGCTATCTGACGTTAAGCAACAGCAGCATAAGATGTGGTACTTCTGAATCTCAACTTCTCACAGTTGTAATTGGCTACTGCTTCTATTCTAACTACACTTCAGATGGTAAAACACACAATAGAGGAAAATCTTAGGCAAAGCTCTAGACATTTTTGTGGCATATAAAACAAACTTGGAGAAACTGTTTTTCATGTCTTTCATATATAAGGAGCATTATTTCTTCTCTAGGAGAAAATCACAAATATTCCTCTGTCATCACTAGCCAAAGCTATTAATCAGCTGCATGTTGTTAGAAAGTTGACAAACAGCTATTTTTTCTGGTTTTATTTTCTGCTCCCTTTGCTTCCTGCTCTAATTTCAATTCAATGGCTTCTGATTCTGCTCCTTCTCATGGGCTGTCTTCCTTCTCTTACTCTTTGGGACCTTCCTCTCTGTTCCTGCACCACCAGATACAGTCTTCTCACTGAGAATTTCTGCATATGCCTCTCACTAGTGATTCGTGTGAATGTTTGATCGTGTTGGTGCAACTATATGACATCCCTATCCTGCCATTGACTCAGACTCCATAAGGCTGAAACGGACTCCTCCCTCTTCCTTCTCTGTTACCACTGATCTTGGGGTGGCAGACAGGAAACGTGCCATTTAACTCCTCGCATTCTTCGAGCCATCCAGGACTGCTTTATCTTGTTGCTGCTTATTTCATAATTATATAGTCCTTTTGTCCCAACTGTTCAGATGTTGCCTTTGTTTTGCTCATTTCTCAGCTGCACTGGGACTTCTCCTGGAAGTATTCTGCTTTTTCAGGTGTTTCAACCTTCTGTCTAGAGGCCTGAGGACTTTTTAAATAAATACATTGCTGTAAGACTCAGTCCTGCCTGGTGTGATAACTATGTATTGCCATTATAAAGATCAACCATGCTGGGACAGACCTAAGGTCCAAAACTCTTTCAATGCTGACTCTGATCACTGGCCTTTTGTCATCTGTTACATGAGCCTCGAACTCAAGATGACTTTTCTAACGTGAATTTCTTATACCTAGCTCCTGGCCTACAACTGTGAAGTATTTCATGCCCTCCTTGGTTCCTGCATTTCTTTAACAGTCTGATTGCTGATGCCCACTATGTGGTGTTCATTCTGCACATTAATAATGTAATTTGACATGCTGAAATTTATAATATTAAAAATGGGTGCAACACTGAATTGCATCCTGTGGTATTTCATAGTTGTGAGCTTTAACTTTCTGTAAGCCTCTACTCCTTTTTCACCTGTCTTTACAGTCACAGTAAACAAAGCCAAGTGACATCTTAGTGGAGAAATGTCTGTACATTACCCCCCCACACACACATCTTGAGGGTACTATATGCTTTTTCTGCAAGTACAGTTTCCTAGTGAAAAAGTCTTTGTTAGGGTATGCCCTGGTTTATCTTCTGTTACCACATCAGTATTTCTGCCAGTCAAATATGCTTTCTTCTACTTTCGGAATGTTTTCACTCCGTTCTTGTTATATTTAACAACAATAAAAACAGGTTGGGGGAAGTAGAGGATCTGAAGTCTTTTAAGTATTTTTATAAGGAAGAAAAATCAATCTTCAGTAACTGGTAACTTTTAGTGGCTGCTCATGTAATTATTTTTACAGTCCTAGTACATTTCTGTAAATGGTTTTGCAATCTGCGTTTCAGTACAGGAATCCCTACAAGCAAGCGTGCCATCACACCGTGCTTCAAAAGTGCAGGAGTCTGTAGGAGGCAGATCACTGGCCTTTCAAAATATTTCACCTGTTAGTAGGGTACAAGGTGCACCAGACACTTCTGAATTAGCAAGAACCTTACCTCAGAAATACAGAAGGAAACCTATGTCAGAGGAAGAGATTGAATATATTCAAGTAAGTTTATTGGTTCATATTCTCTGTATTTACTTATCTTTTTTCTACAGGTTCTCTACAGTTTCAGATATGGTATTACATTTTAATTCTTGGTAACTGTGCACTTGGAGCTTTCACAGCTTTGATGCACAGTACTCAAATTACATATTCTTCATATGCAAGGTATCCAGCTCTCACTAATTGGTAGCTAGTGATATAATTGAACGGAGAGATATGGACTTAATACACACATGCGGAAAGTTAGCGATAATCATAACCTACATTACTGACAGTCACTGTCTGTGTTATTACAGCTGTTTAATGTGTAGTATGAGTATGTTGGACAGGAGCACAGGTCTGTTCATAGACTGAAAAATGCTATTGCTAGATGACTGAAGTCCAAAATATTTTTCAGACTAATTTTTATAAATTATTTATTAGTACGTGAACTCATATTTCTAATAGTGGAAGCATTTTACTAAATTAGATTTAAATTATATTCTGTAATATTTGCAATTATAGCATTGTACATGAAAGGCAAGACCTAGTCTGTTCTCTAACAAGATTATAATCACTCTGTTACTCCAAAAGGGAGCACACACAAAATTTGAAGAACTGGAGAGAGAGGTCTGAGTTTTTGAAATAAAAAGACATATAGCTCAGTTAAGTGAGCAGGACATCTGAAGTATAATCTTGTGAACAGAGAAAATCATTTTTCCCTGCATGCATGTGGATAGGGTATTATACCTATTATTATAGGTATAATTAGAAAATAATTCATTTTACTTCTATAGTAGTACACTTCTAGACTTCCAGCCTAAATTTTCTAACAGTTTTGTTGGCATAATAATGAATTGAGTACCTTTTAAATCTCATAAAGATTGTAATGGCTGACCTTGCTTTTGTTTTTACTTTGCACCTTGGAACCTGGGCAGTGAAAATAATTCTAAAACTCCTGTTCACTACCGCTGTGTTTATCAGACCTTTCTAAAAGTCAAGTTTTCCCAGTAGGGGAATTGGAACCAACTATAATTATTGTTTGCAGGTGTTTACCTTTTTGTATTCTCTCTGAAATGAAAGAGCTGCAACTGATTGATGCTAATACTTTGAGACTCTGTGCATGTTCTTTTACAGATTAAAAATCAATGTCTCGATTGTCTGTAACAGTGCAAAAGAATATTTGCTCTCAATTTTCCTTTCTTTTTGTAGAATATATTTAACTGTCTACTTTATTTTACAGCGTGGAGGTCCCGAATAAGTGTGGAAGATCGTTTGTTCACCACTGTTGAAGAATGAAGTATTGTATTCACAATAAAAGCATTTCTGTAATGTTATAAATGATTGTACACTAATAGCTTTAATAAAGACCCTGTAGGAAGGGTGAGAAAGTTGTCACTTAACACACTATTAATTTGTGATTGAGAAAGATTTTCTTTTGATGGCTAACTAGCAATTGAATATATTTGATGTCTACACCATTAAAATATTTTTCTAATTAGCCATTCTACAAACTTGGCAATAAAACTGTCTTGAGTTGCTTTCTTTTTCTTCTTAAAAAGATTCAGATGTCTCTTCAGTAATAATTTTACAGGCAGGAAAGAGATAATGAAGTATTTTTAATTACTGTTAAGACTTCACGGTGCTTCTTAATAGCTATGCAACTTCTGCCTGGTAGTGGAATCCAGTGGGCAGTAGCGTAGCAGCTGCTTCCCCACACTATCAGGACTGAGATTGGGAACAAAATAAAAATAGGCTGCTCTTGGTCTATTTAAATCATTATTTTTTTCAAGAGAGTTATCTGGATCTGATTAGAGTTAGAAGTACATAACGTACCTGATCCCTGGACTTGATTTTTAAGAAAACAACAGCATGTAGTCTTTCGCTACTGGTTTTCACGTGGCAGAAAAAAAAAAAGTGAACCTGTGAGGTTGGACGGTCTGTCTATCTAATGCAGTCACAGTCCGCTGTGTCAGTGTAAGTCATGCTCGTTTCAGTCCAAGTTAACACACGGGGCTGTACACTGCGGCAGTTCAAGAAAAACGGCATGCTCCTCTCCTGGACGTGTCGCAACCCCTCCTCCTCCTCCTCCTCCTCCTCCCC